CACGAATGTTTTTTTTTAAAAAATCCCTTTTTTTTTTCCTGGTGTCTAAAAGTTTGCATTTGTATTGCATTTGTTAACTGGTGGCTGTAAAGTTGGTGAAAGGCGCGTTGAGAGAGAGAGAGAGAGAGAGAGAGAGAAAGTGGAGAATGGTTAGTGGATGTAAAGTGCGTGGCCAACAAACACTTGACTTATGTGTGTGTGTGTGTGTGTGTGAGGGTCTGTGTATCTCTGCACCTCCCCTCACTCTTCCTCTCTGTGTGTCTCTGTCTCTCTTTCTTTGCTCTCCATCTCTCTATCTCTTTGTGTCTCCCTCTCTCTGTCTCCCTGCTCTCTCTCTCTGTCTCTCTCTCTCTCTCTCTCTCTCTCTGTGGGTCTCTCTCTCTCTCTCTCTCTCTCTGTGTGTGTGTGTGTCTCTGTCTCTCTTTCTTTGCTCTCCATCTCTCTATCTCTTTGTGTCTCCCTCTCTCTGTCTCCCTGCTCTCTCTCTCTCTCTCTCTCTCTCTCTCTCTCTCTCTGTGTGACCAGGTCTCTCTCTCTCTCTCTCTCTCTCTCTCTCTCTGTGACCAGGTCTCTCTCTCTCTCTCACACACTCTCTCTCACTCTCTCTCTCTCTCTCTCTCCCTCTCTCCTTCTCCCCATGTCCATTCCCCGCAGCCACAGTCGGACGATGAAACGTTGGAGTCTAACGTGGAGAAGGAAGAGATTAGGTCGTGTCCCAGCCCTGTGTCCACTCCGTCCATCTCCTCCCCTCCCTCCTCGTCCTATTCCAGCACCTCCACTGACAAAAACATCTGTGCCAGCTGTGGCCTGGAAATCCTGGACAAGTATCTCTTAAAGGTGAGACTCCCAATTTAAAGGGCAGAGTGTGTGGGCAGCACTTGGATTGCGCAGTTAATTGCACAGTTTCAAGCACATATTATATATAAAATTATTATAGTGCATATATATATAGAGAGAGAGAGATATTTATATTCGCCCAGAAATATACAGTCAATTCACTTTACTGTATAGTCTGGGAAGCGCTTTGGGACGTCTAGAAGACGTGTGAGGCGCTATATCAAATGCGAGGATATTCTTCTTATATATAATATGTTTTTTTTAAAAAAAGTTCCTTTCAAGGAGGCTGTTTTGTGTCTGCAAAAAACTAGGTTAGGACAGCAGAGAACAAGAAACGCACACATTGAGGTTATTGAACCCTGCAATCAGTGGAAAAGTTTGAACATTTTTAAATATGTATATACACATATATGTATTAGTAATAACAAATGCACTTTGCACGGTTTTATATACTGTGTGCAATCGGCTGCGGCGTTTCGCCCACAAAATATAGTCAATTTACTTTACAGTGTATTCTGTGAAGCGCTTTGAGACGTCTCGAAGACGTGATTGAGGATTATTATTATTATTATTATTATGATAAGGCGATTTTATCTGCGCGATTCTCGTGTTCCAGTCATTGGTTGCAACAATTACAACCAGGGAATTGCCTGTGACTTGATGTGTACTGAAGCGTCAGTCCCTGCTTTGTGCAGCCCAGCGCTGTGTGTGTGTGCGAGAGTTTTTACACACACAGACACACACACACACACATACAGACACACACAGATACACACACACACACACACAGACACACACACACACATACAGACACACACAGATACACACACACACAGACACACACACAGACACACACAGACACTCACACACACACACACAGACATTCACACACACAGGGACACTCTCTCACACACACACACAGACATTCACACACACAGGGACACTCTCACACACACACACACACAGGGACACTCACACACACACACTCTCTCACACTCTCACACACATACACAGCTGATGTGCCCTCCCCTGGTTAACCCAAGACTTGCTTAAAACCAATCATTCGGCACAAAATACACAGTATTTCACTTTTATCCCGTGAAGCGCTTTGAGACGTCTCGAAGACATGATAAGGCGCTGTATCAAATGCAAGGAATATTATTATTATTATTATTATTCATTCATTGAACCGTTTTGTCTGTCCACACAGCCTGTACCGATTCCCACAGTTATAATAAAAAAAACATTCTCCCAGTTCGCTTTTTTTTGCGTGTGTTATCTGTTCCACACATTGCTAATAATAGATTTTTTTTAAAAATAGATATTATTTAAATGCAAAATAAGATTCTGTCATTCTATGATTCTATCTTGGGTTATAAGAAATATTACGAAATAAAATTCTCCTCTAAAAATGAGGATACATTCCTGGGGGGAGAGAGAGGTGAATTGTCGAAATCTGTGATGATTAAACGTAAATTGCAGATCAAAAGTATTTATTTGTTGGTTTGGGGATGGGATTGGGAGGGATTACTGATTTGAAGGGATTGCGTAATAATAATAATATAATATTAATATTCCTTGCATTTGATATAACGCCTTATCACATCGTCGAGACGTCTCAAAGCGTTTCAACAGAACACACTGTAAAGTGAAGTGACTGTGTATTGTGTGGGCGAAAACAAAGGCTAGAAATCAAGTTGTGAATATCTTTTCGGTGCATAATGACTGTCAGCCAAAGAGAAAGAGAAAGAGAGAGAGAAAACTCTGGTACCAGTAAAATATTCCTCAGTTCCCAGGACTTATTAATTTTCGGGGGGGGGAGTGAGGTGGGGGGGCATTCGATTAAAAGGAAATTATTCTAAAGTGCAAATCTTGCTGTTGTGTCATAGAATCAAAATATTAATAGTTAATGATGATTTGGGGGAACCTCAGGGATTATTTGCAGCCAATGGATACACCTCTTAATGAATTTATGTTGTGTGTATTAGTTTAAAGGGTCTGGTTTTAAAAGGGAGGGGAGGGGAGGGGAGGGGAGAGGGGGGTTTAGCAAACTCTCCAAATATTACATTGGGGAAAAATGCTGAAAAAATGCGCCAGAAAATAACATTTAAATTCGATGCCCTTTTAGAAAACTGGCGAATTCGACGCACATTCAGCGAATATTCGCGTTTATAGATATAATAGTTTTTTTTTAAAAAAATGATTTCCCACAAAATTGACGGATTGTGGAATGGGATAAAATTAAGTTTGATTTAAAAATGCAAAGGCAATTATATTATTGTTAGTAGTATTAGTATTATTATTATTATAATGATGATTCTCAGTCCACAAATATATTTGAATTGCACTGAAAACACACACAAAGGATGAGATGGGGAAATGGTGTTGTTTGGATGAATGTTGCAGCAAAAAAAAATTTGCAGGGAGAGAATAAATCAACAAGACATTAATATTGAAATGTTTCAGCAATTGACTTCAATTGAACCGTTAAACTCTGGTAATTTCTGACAGTAGGAAACCGAGGCGATAGATAGTCGTGGTTTTCGGGTTATAATTCAATTGCAGGAGTTACGATATAATGTGATTTAATAAGATTATTGGAGTGTTATTTCCCATTCCAATAGCTCGCGTGTAAATGATATATGCAGTGTACCATATTGTGTGTGTATATATATATATATATCTTGTATCTCAAATTGATCGCTTTAAACACAAATTGTACTAAACTCCAGTTTAAAAGGCGGTTAGTTCCGTTTGTGTGTGTGTTTGTGTGTCAGAGCGGATATGGAATTTAACCCCCAAACCTTCAAAATAATTACAACAATAATCATATTATATAAAACTACCGACTGGAATATCGGAAAATACCGAATAGTGTGTGTGCATCCAATATTTCACGTTTTCGTTTGTCGGAATAGCAGAACTATTATCGCTCTTCTTCATAGAAAATGATATATACAGTGTATATGTAATCTAAAGTGCATATATATATATAGAGCGATATATTTATTATATCTCAAGTAATGGCTGGAATGACTCCAATTGCCTTTGATCTGATTTTCCTTGGCTCTTGATGTCTCTGGAGGGTTGGGGTTGGGGTTGGGTTGGATTGGGGTTGGGTTAGGGTTGGCTTGGGGTTGGGGTTGGATTGGGGTTGGGTTTGGGTTGGGGTTGGGGTTGGGTTGGGGTTGGGTTGGGGTTGGATTGGGGTTGGATTGGGGTTGGGTTGGGGTTGGGTTGGGTTTGGGTTGGGGTTGGGTTTGGGTTGGGGTTGGATTGGGGTTGGGTTAGGGTTGGGTTTGGGTTGGGGTTGGGGTTGGGGTTGGGGTTGGGTTAGGGTTGGGTTTGGGTTGGGGTTGGATTGGGGTTGGGTTGGGTTTGGGTTGGGGTTGGGTTGGGTGGTTGAGGGTGGGATGGAGGATTAGAGATTCGAGGCGCATTTTTAACCTAAACGTATCGCATTTGACGCCCTCTATCTCTCTGCCTCTCTCTGTCTCTCTCTCTCTCTGGACTGTTGCAGGTTAATAACCTGATCTGGCATGCTCGCTGTCTGGCTTGCTCGGTCTGCAGAACTTCTCTACACAGAAACGCCAGCTGTTACATCAAAAACAAAGAGATCTTCTGCAAAGTGGATTATTTCAGGTAACGTAAATGACTCGGTTGTGGCTTTGCTGCTGCTGTTGTTGTTGTTGCTGCTGCTGCTGCTGCTGCTGCTGTTGGGAAAGTAAGTTCACTTTTTGGCTCTGAGGAAAATTGAAATCCACTGGAATATATATTTTAAAAAAGGAGAGGAGAGGGAGAGAGCAACAGACAGAGCTTGCCTCTGTGAGTGTGTGTGTGTGTCTGTAGTTTCAAGTCCAGGAAAGCTAGTTGGGTTCTGGGTCAGGAAAGCTCAAAGAAAAGTAAAAATTAAAATAATAATAATACTTGCATTTGATATAACTCCTTATCACGACCACTGACTCGTCTCAAAGCGCTTCGCAGAGTATATTGTGAAGTGAATTGACTGTGTATTTTGTGGGCAACTCGCGGCAGCCAATTGCGCACAGCAGCGTCTCCACAAACAGTCGTGGATTGAATGGCCACTTTTTTTTGTTCCAATTGGCATTACTGTAATTCCAATTCCCTGCTCTTTCCCAACACCTAACATTCCTGCAAATACACAGTCACTGCACTTCATGTGCAGCACTTTGAGACTTACCGATGACCTCATAAGTCCCTATATCAAATGCAAGGATTCTAACTTCCCTCTTAACTCTTCCATTGACGAGGCTGATCTTTTTCGATGTGCGATCACATGTATTCTCCATCGTACATCTAGCATTGGAGAGAGAGCATGGTGTCCAGCTTTGATTAGCACTTCAAGAAGCTTCCGTGCGAGAAGGGCGCTATATAAATGCAAGTTGTTGCTGGTGTTGTTTTAGAAAGATCATCAGGGCCATGGCGAGGGTGCAGAGGAGATTGACTATTGTGATGCCAGGGATGAGTGCAGAAACACGCCATGTTTTGCAGAAAGTCACATTGATCTATGAGCAGAGACTGGAGGAACTGGACCTAATTTCACTGTGAGGGGGAGACTAGATCAAGGTGTTTAAAACGACGAAGGTTTTTTGATGGAGTCAATTTAAGGGAGAAATCTCCACTGGTCGGTGAGTCGGTGACTAGAGGGCATCAATTCAAGATGATTAGCAAAGGGAGCAATTGGGAGGATTTTCAAGGAATTCTACGCAGTGTGCAGTCATTGAGGCAAGACCCATATTAGCTTTCAAGAAGGACCAAGATAGATATCTAAAGAGGAGCAACTTGGTAGAGTTTGGTTATGGGGGGAAAAGGCAGGTAAATGGGATGAGATGGAAAGCTCTTTCAAGGTTGATGGCCTTCTTTCTCTGTGCTTTAACCTTCTGTCTTTGCCCTGTACCGACTCAGTGGATTGGTTTCTTTGCTGCAAATATAACCGAAAAATTATTAATAAAGCTCATTAATCAATTGGCTGTTAGATGCCTTGGAGATACGTAAAGATGTCATATTTTTTTTAAAAAAACAACAAAACCGCAGACTTTTAATAAGAGGAATAATCCTTGCATTTGATACAGCATCTGCTGTGCACAATTGGCTGCCACGTTTCACCCACAAAATATATAGTCAACTCATTTTACGATATATTCTGCGAAGCGCTTTGAGATGTCTCAAAGCCCTGACAAGTCACTGTAACAAGGATCATTATAGCGCCCTATTATGTCATTGAGACGTCTGAAAGTGTTTCACAGAGTATAAAGTAAAGTGGATTGACTGTATTTTGTAGGCAAAACATGGCAGCCAATCGCGCACAGCAGTGTCCCACAAACAGTCGTGAATTGAGTGACTTTTTTTTGTTGTTGGTTTGTTTTTTGGCGGAATTATTACCTGAATAGTTATTTGGGTAATATTTATTTGAAATCAGTTATTCGGGGATCATGTCCTCTGTCTGGGAGGAACGTTTTGATGTTCGACAATGTAAATATGACAGATGTATCATGATGCCTTCCCCTGAAATGGTTTAGACAACTGTAGCTGCCCTGAAATCTCCAATGTGGGTGATATCTCTTCAAACCATCACATTCGAACAATGCTTTAAAAGTGAGGTTTTCAAAATACAGAGCTTTCAGTCCAGGTTAGAATCACAACTAAATTTTCGCTTTCATTCACTTCCGAGTAAATCCCCAAAACAATTACCGCTGGGAGTGAGTTAATGTCCCCAGGTATCAGGAACTCATTTTTTGTAGCTTAAAAACATAAGTGTTTATACTTTTCATGCACTTTCTGTTCCAATGTTAGCAGGCGTTCAATCTCAGTCACCTGTCTGTCCCTTCACTCTATCTGCCAAATAGTTTAGGCACTTTAGGAGAGTGACAGTAAGATTCAGCAATTCCTACTCATGGGATTTAATCGAGATCAATGTTTGTATTGTAAAAGTGCATTGGTCTTAATTTAATGTGATCGAAGCACATATATTAATAATATTAATAATAATAATCCTTGCAATTGTTACAGCGTCTGATCACATCGCTGAGACGTCTTGAAACGGTTCATAGGACATACTGTAAAGTGAATATATCGTGGGCAAAATTGTGGAAGCCGCAATAGAAGCACCCGTTTGACACACAGTCTTATCCCAGATTATATCTCCCCCTTCTCAACCGAATTTAGTCCTAACTTCAAATCAATTGGCTGATGACCTGTTATTGTGTGTGAGGCATCACTGGCACAGATCACCTGCCATGTTTGTCTACAGAATAGTGTTTATTTCTAATCGATTCGTTTTTTGTAAAATGTTTGGAGAAGTTTATTTTACGGCGAAAGGCACTGTGTATATTGTAAAGTAGATTGACTGTGTGTTTTGTGGGCGAAACACGGCAGCCAATCGCGCAGGGAAGTGTCCTACGCACAGTCATGGATTGAGTGACCACATTTTTTTTTGGAGGGATTATTAATCCCAGAAAACGATCTGCCAAACGACTAACAACTCAGTTCCTATTTACAGTTGGGTAAACATAGGTGTGCGGGGTAAGGAAATTTGCTTAAGCTTTTGCCCCGCCCGGGAATTGAACCCGGGTCCTCTCGCTTGCGAGGCGAGCGCGCTAACCACTATGCTACCAGGATTCCACTTATCCATTATTAAGAGATACTCCACTGAAAGTGGACTAAACGAGAGGTATAAAATTGGCCACAGGAAGGAGTGAGTTTGGCTGGATTGGAACCCACCACACCACACTCTTGATTCACACCGGCTCAATCTCTACTATACTGTTAGAGAGGCCGGTGGACCCCAAAAACCAACACCAAAGTGTGCAGGACAAACACAGCACAAGCCCTATGGTTGAGTTTCATTCGCAGGTTCCTTTTTATCTCAATCCACGGCTGTTTGTGGGTCACTGCGTGCACAACTGGCTGCCGCGTTTCACCCACAAAATACACAGTCAATCGGCTTTACAGTATATCCTGTGAAGCGCCGTGAGATGTCTCAACGACGCGATAAGGCGCTATATCAAATGCAATGATTATTATTTCACCGCTGACTGCAGCTTCAGAATGAGAGATGTGAGCAGTTGCCTTTATGAGGGACACTGTTCAGATACTGTGCGTTCTTGGCTTTCACCCCAGCAGTCACAGGGAAACCAACAGGAATAATTGATTACAAAGCTGCTCTGTGTTTCTTTGCTCTTACATTCAAAAAGCTCCACAGAGCAACACATCACCAATTACAGTCAGAATTGCATTTGATATTTGTGGGGGTGGGGGGGAAATAAATATTTGCTTAGTTCCAAATTACGGAAGCAAACCAAAAATAAATCACATGGGGTCAGGCTCAGTTTCCTCGGTTAAAACATTCCCTTTTAAAATGAAACGGAGAATATCGTAATAAAATGAAACGTAATTGCGTTTACACCGGACTGAATGAAACGTGATCCTGACATTTATTGCGACACCCTTCACGTCGGGAGGACGTCTCAAAGCACTTTACAGAATATATTGTAAAGTGAATTGACTGCATATTTTGAAACACAGCAGTCAATTGCGCACAGCAATGTCCTACGAGTGACCAAATTATTTTTTTCGGCGGGATTATTACGCCCGGAAAACGATCTGTCAATTGATTAAAAATCGGGTTCCTACTTACTGCTAGGAAAACAAGAGGTGTGTGGGGTAAAGAAACTTGCCTTAGGTTTCGCCCTGACCAGGAATTGAACCCCGGTCCTTTCCTTGCGAGGCGAGAGCGCTAACCACTGCGCTAAGGGATTCCACAAAACTTGGTGCTATAGCACTCACGAATCAATCAACCTGATTCATGCAAATAAGTCCACAAAATACACAGTCAATTCACATTACGGTATATTCTGCGAAGCGCTTTGAGACGTCTCGAAGACGTGATAAGGCGCTGTATCAAATGCAAGGAATATTACTATTACTATTATAGTATGTGTGTGTGTATGTGTCCAGCCCACTCTATGTAACACAGTGCTCTTGGCCTGTGAAGTGCTTAGCACACTGAACACACACACACGCACACACCTTTGCAGAATATCACTGCAAAAAATTGTCACGCTGAAATATTCGTGAGTGCCAATCTGCTACACCTTCGCTGTGCTTCTCAATCACCGTACGACTTGTTTTGTTTTGCTCTTAACGGTTTTCTTTGTGCCTTGTGGCCGTTGGTCCATTTTTTTTTTTTTTTAAAAAAGGGGGGTGGGGGGGGGGGGGTAAAAAAAACTTTGACGAAAAGCTGTTGAAGCAGCCATTACATACGTGAGCAGGAATAAGTTTGCCGATTCAGCTGCCAAGATTGTGAAATAACTAAATAAATATTCGTACAGCTGCAATCGGTGGCAGAAAGCAAATGGTGGAGTCCTTTAGCATAGCGGTTAGTGTGATCTACTCACGAGCGAGAGGAACTGGGTTTGATTTCCGGCTGGGCAAAACCTTAGGCAAGTTTCCTTACTCCACACGCCTCTGTTTATCCAGCAGTAAGTAGGAACCCGGTTGTGAGTCGATTGGTGTATCGCTTTCTGGGGGTAATAATCACTAAATCCTCGACTGTTTGTGGGACACTGTCTTGCATAATTGGCTGTTGTTGTTGTTGTTGTCTTTTTTGCCTTTCATGTGGAGTAATGTGCTCCATAAAGATGGAGTGAAACCCCAAGCAGAATGGTAGGTTGTGGAGAGGAGGGTGCAGAGAGTAGGATGGTTGAGTAGAGGTGTATTTTCAGAAGGGTTTTGAAAGCAGACAGGGAGAGAGAGAGAGAGGGAGTGAGATGGACGGGACAATGCTGTGCGCAATTGGCAGCCACGTTCGCCCGCAAATCCACAGTCACTACACTTTGCAGTACTTCAAATCCTGTGAAGTGACTTGAGGTGTCCTGACAATGTGATGAGGCACTGGGTCAAATGCGAATATTATTATTATTATTATTGTTATTGTTATTATTATTATTATTGTCAGAAATTGTTTTGAAATTTAGCATTAATTAAAGTAATCTCGACAGATACGTTTGGTGTAAGCGTGTGATCAGCGTTTGATCCAGCCGTTGCTTGTAGAGATTGTCCACATCTGTAAATCACAGCAGCATACCTCAGACTGATCATCGCTCCAACATCTGGACTTTAAGGCATTTGGACAGCTGCGTTCAAATAGCAGATGTCGCAGATGTGGATTTATCATTCGTTCCAAAATATCTATCACCAGCGGTAATTACGATACAACCTTAGAATGCAGAGTTCTGTCAGGGAGTCAGAATGACCCTTTTTTTTACGCTGAGTTTTAATTAGCTCCCTATTATTAAAACTGTTATCCTTCCCTCCCTCCCTCCCTCCCTCTCTCCCTCCCTCCAAACAGAGCAAGTCAATGTCCCGAAAGTGCTGCATCATCAAAAAATCCACAGCTGTTTGCGAACACTGCTGTGCGCAATTGTCTGCCGCATTTTGTCCACAAAAATATGCAATCAATTCACTTTACAGTATATTCTATGAAGCGTTATGAGACGTCTTGAAAACATAAGGCACAATATCAAATGCAAGGATTATTATTATTATTTATTATTATTAAATAGAGCTTTAATGGTTCGGTTAATCACTCTGTGGAACCAATGAAGACTGTAGTTTTTTTTCAATCTGGTTCATAAGGTGCTGTGGTTTAATCTACCGACCAATGGAATCTGAATCAAATAGGTGCTCAGACTGTGGAGACCATTTCATTTTATTTTATTTCACCTGAAAAACACACAGTCAATTCACTTTACAGTGTATTCTGTGAAGCGCTTGGAGACGTCTCACTGACATGGTAATGCGCTAAATCAAATGCAAGGATTATTATTATTATTATGTTTCAAGATTTAAGATGGCTGTATAAATTATTAGTGAGACCATACTTAAAGTCCTGTGTACAGTTCTGGTCGCCCCAGTACAAAAAGAATATTGGAGAAATCGAGAAGATACAGAGGAGGGCAACCAAAATGATTGAGGGAATGGAAGGACTGGACTATGAGGAGCGACTAAGTAAATTGGGCATGATCACGCTGGAAAAGAGAAGATTGAGAGGCGGCATGATTGCTGTCTTTAAGATTCTAAAGGGGCAAAACAATATACAACAACCACAACAAGATTACATTTGTATAGCCCCTTTCACATCGGGAGGACGTCCCAAGGCGCTGAGCAGCATATAGATCATGACAGGCTGTTTCAACTTGTCCAGCATAGTAAAACCAGAGGACACGGCCTGAGATTGAAAGGGGTAAATTCAGAACAAATCTACGCAAACACTATTTCAGTGAGCGAATAGTGAACCTGTGGAACAGGCTCCCTAGCGAGATGGCTGAAGCAGGAAGTGTTGATTCTTTCAAGCACAGATTAGATAGTTTTCTTTCAGGAAATAACATTATGGGATACAGTACACAGGGAGTTTGGGACATATGTGCATGCGACCGGCAGGAAGGTGGAGGGCGAACTAGATGGACCTTGGTCTTTTTTCATCTGGTATTTCTTATGTTCTTATGATGTGCGGAGATGTGGAAAATTCTTCAATTCAATCTGAATTTGAAAGGTCTTTAATTCAGACTCAATTTGTAAACCACCCTTTAAATTAAGACAGAATTGACTGAAGAATCTTTCCACAATTTTGCACTATCTTCGAATGCAAGGATTATTATCATTATTATTATTATCTTCACTTTTGAGCCCAAATGGATGGAATTTCGGACAGACAATATGGATCAATAGCTACAGAAATTGAGAGATTTGCCCATAAAATATACAATTTATAGTATATTCTGTGAAGCACTTTGAGACATTTCTACAGCGTGATAAGGTGCTATGTCAAATACAAGAATTATTATTATTATCGTGTTACACTTTCAAATAAAACAAACACTAAAATAACCAAATGTTTTTTTCCCAAGTGACTTTGATGATTTGATTTTATCTATTTGGTTATTTTGTTCGGAAAAATTTGGATACAGTGTTTAAAATGTATTGCCACAATCTAATTTCAGAGAGAAAAAGAGAGGTAAAGCGAGAGAGAGAGAGTTTAAAGGCCGACATGTTTGAATAGAGGTTTAGTGGAAGTCAGTTAAATTGTTTCGGATCTTTGTACAGAATTGATTAAGAAAGTGCTTTAGGAAACCTCGTTTTATCTTTCCTCTTGTAATAAATCTCCTCCACACTTTGCAACACAATGAAAGCTCTCTTGTTTGATTAAAAAAAGACTTAAACTCTGGATTACAAATGGATTATAATCATTCAAGCACATGCCGGGCCCTGATTGTTTGAAGTTGCTTGAAGTGAACTATAGCACTTTGTTTGTTCGTTCGGTGGAGTGAAAACCATTGCAAACTATAACAATAGTTGTATCTATTTACCCTTTATCGGCGTTGGGTTTCCTTTGCGGATGTGGTGAGAAACATTTATATGTCACATTGCCTCTTGACACACGCTCAGAAATCCGAACAAAATTAAAGCTCGGGCTAACAAAGCCTCGTGGTTACACACTGAGGCCCACAAAATACACAGTCACTAAACTTTACAGTACATACTGCGAAGCGCTTTGAGGCGGGCTCAACAACGTGATAAGGCGCTATATCAAATGCATTGATTATTATTACTAATGCAAATGGGGGCTGTGTGGGGGTGGGGGGGGCCGTGTATTTGAAGACAATGAAACTTCAGGTTCAATTTTGCTGTATTTCTGAACAGATTTCTTAAGTAAGAAATGGATTTCTCAAAAAAAAATCCCAAGTGTCGGCTCCTTCAAGCAGCTCTTTGTGCATCTCCCTCTAACTTTTATTAATCATAAGAATCCTTGCATTTTCATATAGCGCCTTTTCCTAGCTCAAAGTGCTTCACAGGATTTCTTGTAGAGTGTAGTGACTGTATTGTTTTTGCAGTATTCGATAACTAACGCAAGAAGCGTGCCGTGAAATGTCGCATGCTTTTAAGCCCTACATTTCTGGTTTGGTAAGAGTTATTTTTTGTTTTAAATAAATAAAGAGATAAATAAATAAGTGTATAATCCGTGCATTTGATATAGCGCCTTATGACATCTGTCGAGTAGAAAGCGATAAACGCTGAGAGTTTTTAATCCGGAACTCGGGCAAGGGAATTTGTTGTACGATGGCCATTTGGTCTCTGTTTAATGTACTCTGGGCAGACTATTTGGCAGGTAAATGACATTGAACTCTCAAGTCGTAAAATGTTCCAACAGCCAACAGTAAAGTTTTCTTTGCACATGTAACGTGGCATGTAAACCCCAGCAATTTGTCAACATGCACAATAGGCGAATGGCCTCCAAAAGCTGAAAACAAGGCTGGCTCAAGTCCTGACTTGCACATCCACAAACCACAGAAACATCACATGAAAAACGATATCCACACAAAGCAAATGCATTAACCTAGGCCTTAAAGGGAATCACGCTGCCAGACAACATAATGCATCCACTCGCTCAGCATTACCTTTAACCCAAATGTCACCGTACATCTAGTGAATACAAAAAGACTTGGAAATTACAGACGACAGTTAAAGTACTGCACAGGAAAATAATAAGACTAATCCTTGCATTAGATGTAGCGCCTTGTTACGTCGTTGAGACGTCTCAAAGCGATTCACAAAATATACTATAAAGTGTTTTGATTGTGTTGACAGTCCAAATATTGAGTGTCCAAATATTAATTTAATTTTTGGGGGTAAAACACGATTATCTTTTTGGGGTTTGGATTATTACCCCCGGAAAGTGAGCGCCAATCGACTAACAACTGGGTTCCTACTTACTGCTAGGTAAACAGAGGCGTGTGGAGTAAGGAAACTTGCCTGAGGTTGTTTTTGGCATCTCTGCTTTAACCTCTTGTGTCTCTCTTGTGTCTGCAGCCGGTTTGGCACCAAATGCGCCAGATGTGGCCGACAGATTTACGCCAGCGATTGGGTGAGGCGGGCGCGAGGCAATGCCTACCACCTGGCGTGTTTCGCCTGCTTCTCCTGCAAGAGGCAGCTCTCCACGGGCGAGGAGTTCGGCTTGGTGGAGGACAAGGTCCTCTGCAGGATCCACTACGACACCATGTTGGAAAATCTCAAGCAGGCGGCAGCCAACGGTAATGACGGCAGCAATTACGTCAATCACCGCGACTCACCGCGATGTCAACCTCCGTCCGCATGAGCGTCCGAGTGGTGACATCTGACGTCTTGTTCCCTCCCCACAGTTGGACCCGAGTAAACAAATAACCAATTGAATGTTCTCAAACTGAAACAATAGCATATCCATTTGGTTCTTACGCTCAATGAATATTACTTCTAGTATTACTAATAATAATCCTTGCATTTGATATAGTGCCTTATCACGTCATCGAGATGTCTCAAAGCGCTTCACAGAATATATTGTAAAGTGTAGTGACTGTATATTTTGTGGTCGAAACGTGGCAGCTAATTGCGCAGTGTCCCACAAATAATCTTTTTTTTTTGGTGGGATTATTACCCCCGGAAAACGATCCCCCCAACGACTTACAACTGAATTCCTCTTTACTGCCGGTTAAACAGAGACGTGAAGAATATGCCTCGTGAAAACCATGTGTAAATTTCAGGTTCCCTTAATTGTGCCGTAAGCAACCATGAGGAAGGTTGCTTACAGACAATGAATCGATCCTTTCGAGTGTTTGTAAGCGACATACTTTGGGGCCTCCGTGTTAACTCTTGTGTTCGTTGGTTTAACATCGTGTGTGAAGGAAAGGGGAATCACCTCCAAACTAGAGCCCCCTTGTGGTGAGGACCGGAAGGGTTACAACACAACAACAACAAATTATATTTGTGTAGCATATTTCACGTCAGGAAGACGACCCAAGGCGCTGGACAGTCAGGGATTTGGACCCGAGCTAGGGGTTGGGATCAGGAGTGGTGGAGGGTAAGGAGATTAGGGGTAGGAGGGTGGCTGAAGGCATGGTTGAAGAGGAGGGTCTGGTGTCGTAAGCCACCAGAGGAACTGCACATCTCTCATATAGGCAGCCACTCATTTTCAGTTGCGTTAGCTTTTCTGGTTTCTCAATAGCACCTTGAATGACATCAGGTTAATATACAGGGTGACCAAAAAGTCATGAAATCATTACAATGCAATAAGTGGTAAAGAAATGATGATATATACTTTTAGATTTCATAACTTTTTGGTCACCCAGTATGAGGAGCAAAGGATTTTTTTTTAAGGCGTCTGTAGTTATTTTGCCTGGTTCTTACAGGTTGAAGTAATAAAAAGCTATCCCGTGTGGAAAGAACTTACTTGTTCTATCTGGAGTGGAAAGGATTAATCATTTCAGTGTTTGCAAAGCACTCACACATCTGGACATTTCAATGTCATATCATATTCCTTTATTATCATCAGACAAGTCTTCCATTTAAACCTCCTGAAATATATGACTGCGCTAAAGATAGCCTTCTCTTTCCCATTGATTGTGTCCTATAATTTCCCCGGTATTAATACAAGATTCAAATCACTGACAACTAATTTTCTCACGACCGACACGTGCACTGCAGATTTTTTTTCTACAAAAAAATGTTGTGGTGGGGTTTGATACGGAGTGAGAGAGGCTAAATCCAAGTTGTGGTGGTTGTTGTTGTTAGTCGATAGGCGGATTACTTTACAGTGGTAATAAACCTTCCCCCCCAATTTTTTTTAATTTCATTTGGTCGCTTAATCCAGAACTGGTTGTGGGACACTACCGTGTGCAATTGGTTGCTGAGTTTCGCCCACAAAAAGCACACGATCCATCCACTCTACAATGATCGGATATTCACGGTGTGTGTGTTCTTTTGCTTCCAGGTAATGGACTGACCTTAGAGGGAGCAGTGCCGTCCGATCAGGACAGTCAACCCAAACCGGCCAAGAGAGCACGGACTTCCTTCACCGCGGAACAATTACAGGTAGCATTGCGCCAGGGATTCGCCCATCTCTCTTACTGACCCAGAGTGAGACCCACTGCCTTACTAATGACAATAATAATCCTCGCATTTGATATCGCGCCCTATCACGTTGTTGAGACGTCTCTAAGAACTTCACAGGTTATACTGTAAAGTGAACTTACGGGTGTATTTCGTGGGCGAAACGCGGCAGCCAATTTGCGCCCTTCGCCGTCCCGCAAGCAGCCGTGGAGTGAGCGAACAGGCCAATGTCGGTCAGACCAGGTCAAACATCGTATTGTGCGTTAATCGATCTAAATTTTTTTTTTACTGAAGATCTTGTTAAAAAAGAGAAAAAAGGGATATGAACCTGAGGATACAGCCTGCGATTGAAGCGGGGGGGTAAATTCAGAACACATCTGTGGGAACATTACGTCAGTGAGCGAGTACATATGTATAGAACAGGCTCCTGAGGGAGATGGTGGAAGCAGAAAGTGTTGTTTGTTCCAAGAGCAAATTAGATTGATTTCTGTTAGAAAAGAATAGCTCGGGATACAGTATATAGTTTGGGACATGCCGTGGCAAGCAACTGCCAGGATGGTGGAAGATGAACTGGATGGACTTTGGTCGTCTTTCGCCTGGCAACTTCTTACGTTCTTAAAAATGGTGCCTGAACGGGCTGAATGGCCTCCTCTTGTTTCTACGCTGCTCGCGTTGGACTGGCTGTTTGCTGACGGTATCTCTTCACTCTCTGGGTACAGGTGATGCAGGCACAGTTTGCACAGGACAATAATCCTGACGCTCAGACTCTCCAGAAACTTGCGGACATGACCGGGTTGAGCAGACGTGTTATTCAGGTACGTCCCCTTTCGATAAGAGTTTTCTAACCGGAGTTTCATGCTCCCGGCCATCCCATGTCAGTCTGTGGCACAGTGCAAACCCGTATTGACCAGGGACGATGCTGTTGCCCCTGAGCAACTGTAGGGAACTTGCCTTAGTCAGAGCAGTACTGAACTGACTTCAAGATCCTTCCCATCTCGTCTACAAATCCCTATGTTCCCTGGCACCTCCTTACCTCTATGACCTGCTTATTCCCAACGCCACCACCGGTTGGGACTCTGGGACTCTCTCCCTCAATCCGTCTGCCTTGCCCCCCTCCTTCCCCCGTTTTCAGATCGGGTCGGAAGACCTTTCTCTTCGGCCGAGCCCACAGTCACCTCACCCCTCCTCCCGGCTAGGAGACCTCTCAGAGGAGAATATCAAGAGGTTTGTAAGTGAGATAAAAAGAGTAAATCCAGAACAATACTTTCAGATGTGTCGAGATCATCGGGTTTAAGGGTTGTGAAAGGCCAATTCTAGGATGCAAACCGTGCTCCTCTCTGCACAGGGGGGTAATCGAGAGTTGGAATGAGTTACCACTGAAGGCTATCCGTTATCGTTGCAGGTCTGGTTTCAAAACTGCAGAGCTCGACACAAAAAGCACACTCCGCAGCATTCGGTGGGCCAGCCCGGACCGCCCCGCTCACGCCTGCCTCCCTCCCTCCAAGAGGATCTCCATTACCAGCCTTTCAGCCACCACGAACGCACCAGGATGGTGGCACTTCATGGCTACGTGGAAAGTAAGTGGACACGGTGACGTTCTGCGCCACCCGAGTTTGTGTTTCTCTGCTCTTTAGAACATTGGTGTCAAAAGTGGCTCAGTTGGTAACACTCTCACCTGTGGTTTGGTGGATTGTGGGGTTCAAACCCTACATCGGGACGTGAGGATCATAGCCTAACACAGCTCTTGCTGAAGGAACACTGCCTTGGCAGAAGTGACATCCTTGGGATGAGATGTTAAACTGACGACCCATCTGCCTGTTCAACGTCGACATTAAATAACCACTGACGCTGTTCAGAAAGAGAAAGCCGGTGTACCAGCCAACAATCGTCCAGATAAATTGGTGATTCACCTGGTAGCCATTTGCGGGACTTGGTGATGCACAAACTGGCTGCTGCATTTGCCGACAAATTCAGGGTCAATGCACTTAACAGGAATTATTGTGAAGCGTCTTGAGACATTTTTGATGTTCTAGGTGCTGTATCAATGGCCAGGATTATTACTGTTAAGATGCTATGAAATTGGTTTGTTCTTGTGTTTCTCTTTAATACCCTAGACAATTGATCTCTGTTGTTGTTGTTTGTTATGAAATCAAATGAAGGCAACTAAAATTAAATTAGTAGCCCAATTCATAATTTAGCAACCATTGCATTAGGGGCCATTGTGAATATTCTCCCACTGACGAACATCTATATACCATGTAGTTAACCTGTCACCAGGATGGGCAATTGGGAGGAAGGTCTATCATGAGGTGCTGTTGTTGTGGCATTAGTTATTTGCTGTGAGATTGCATTTGGTAATTTTCCTTCCTATCCATTTATTTTTAGGTCATCCGTTCTCAGTCCTGACAGCACAGTCCATTCCTCACCAGGCGTTGGCTCTTCCACAGATGCCAATCAGTCGTTGACAGAAAGCTCTCCGAAGCAAGTGATGGAGTTCATCCTCCAAGTACTGAGTCGGATGAATGAACCCCGCTTTGTGTACGTTTCTTACTCCTGTGTCAGCAGGCATCGGGACCTCTCTGTTCGCTGCTCACCAGACCTCAGTTTCAGAGTTGTACTTCATTCAATTCCTCGTCTAAAGAACACGTTCACTTGTCTAAAGAAAATGCATACCAAAAGGCTGGACCTTTTTGGGGGCTCTCATTCATCAAATCAATTAAACTCCAGCATAGGAGGAAGCCCTTTAGCCTATGCTGGTGCTAACTCATCTACTAGAGCTAACTACTCCAATTGCACTGTCCTGCTCTTGCCTTGTACTCCTTTGGGATCCCTGTACTTATTTAGGGTAAAGGCAGATGAAGTGATGGACAAGGCTCTTCTTTTACATCTGTTTTCAGATAACAGTGGTGGTCATGGCGTCCTGGCAAAAAAAACACCTCCTCAAGGAAGTTTCACTGTCTGTCTCTAACTCTAGTCAATTGCAAAGCTGAATCACACTGTGTTTTCACCATTTATTTATGAAGCTAGGTTAAGAGCATAAGAATTTGCTAAGCGAAAGAAGACCAAGGTCCATCCAGTTCACCTTCCACCATCCTGGCAGTCGCATGATCTGTTGTGTCCCCAACAATATTTTGTGTCCTGAGATATTATTTTCTAACAGAAATCTATCTAATTTGTTCTTGAAAGAATCAACACTTTCTGCTTCCATCGTCTCCCTAGGGAGCCTATTCCATAGGTTTACTACTCGCTCACTGAAGCAGTGTTTCCACAGATTTGTTCTGAATTTACCCTCGTTTGTGAGAAATAATCTTCCTGAAACCGAGTGCATGACTGCAGCAGATAAATTGAGGCAAGCAGTCCCCTAACTTTCTGTGGAATGTTTCGTTCACGTGACCTTAACTTAATGACTGCAAAAAGAAACATAAAATTAATCATTTCCATTTGTTCAAATAATAATAAAAAGAAACACAATGTCTGCGTTCCCTTGTCAAGCAGTGTCTGGTTAGAATCGTAGACAGACTAGATCCTCATTAGAGTAAATTCCTTCTTCACTAAAGGAATTGTTTCTCACTGGAGCTAAATCTTCAGTGAGGATAAGGCTATACTTCAATGAGGATGACTGTTGAGCTGCATTGGAGATACATCTATTCTTCGCTGGGATAAATCTATTCTTCACTCAGGATGATTCTGTTCTTCACTGAAAATAAACCTATTCTCACTGGCGATGACTGCACACAGCAGATACATTTGCATCTCTTTGCACGATTCCAGTCAGGGCTGATTTAAGTGGACAAGATGATAGAGACCACTTGACTCTAGTGAGGCATTCTGAAGCAGTCTATTGCTTTGATCGCACATCCTTTTAACAGCAAAACTTCACAGGAAATCCAGATTTGTATTCTATAGTTCAGTGATAAGAAGCTGCCTTTTTTTAAAAAAAAAGAGAGTGCTGGTCTTTCAGGACATTTCAAAGAGTTTGAGGGATTTCATTTAGCAAAAAGCTGCTCAAATAGACATGAGACAGCTGGAGCTTGATCTAATGGTCTTAAAAGGGAGCTTTGTATTTGAACTATGCCCATTGCTGACTGTAGCTGGCAAGCACTTGCACTGATCGTTCCTACACGCTTTGACAAATGTTGTATGTGTTCATCCAAGTCTTCACCGTTCAAATGTTAATTTTACAACCTCCCCCCACCCCACCCCCCCATCATCGTCTTCTGTTTCATCCACATGTACCAAATTCTGTGTGCCGTCTTGTGATTTAACCTGTAATAATGACGAATAAACGTCTATAAGTTGTTGTGTTAATTGGCCCTCTGAGAGGTGAGGAGATGCAGTAATAAAGAAACATACAGTGTCAGCTGAGTACTATGTACGGAAAGTCAGTATTCCAACAAGTCATTCCGATATTGGGCATTTACAGTACAGAGGAGGGGGTCTAAATTGCAAGATTCCCAAAAGGATTTATACTTACATTAACAGTAAGGGATGTGTTGTGGCTGATCCTTTGGATTTCCGTACAGACGCAAATATGAGTTTCGATTTCCGTGGGGTTATTGTCCAAATGGAGATGCAAAAGGTTGTCCTCGATACACAATGAGGTGTGGCAGGTTTGAATGCTCCCGAAGCTCTGGCAAATGATGACTCCAATGGACGTCCGTGCAAGTCCTCCAAGGAATCAATCAGCAGCAATTCTGTTGGTTTGACAACAGTTCATAGCATGAGGGGTTGCACATCACGCAGACAGGTCCCACTGTTGAACGCTGTTGAGGTTGCAAAGGATTTCATGAACCTGTCAAAAGAAGCACAATGGAAAATACCTTTTTTGTTCCTGTGGGTGGGGAGGGGGGAGTGGGGGTAAGAGGGGGAAAATACATTGTTTACTGTTTACCAGCATACTCTCTTTGTATGTACAACTTTGTAACCTGAAAGAGGGAATCTTTGGCTCTAATTTGTGGATTATGCAGAAGCGTAAAATGACTTTTCATGTCTTGTCACACGTGTCCTGTACATAGATGATGTTTAAAGCGTTTTTAACCCAAATGTAAATTGTTTCGTTTTAGCATGTGGTGATTTAAACATGTCTTGGCTGACCACCATTTTTAAAAAAATGGATGCTACTTTTGAAATGTCAAGACACTGTTTAATCAAGTATTTATTGTAAGATATAAACTTCCGTAAGCACTTTTGAAATGTTCAGTTTTTGTAACATTTAGACTTTTATTGTGCGTTGTTAATGTATTATTTGTGTGATTAAAATGCAATAAAAGTGCTGCCACTTTCATGAAAACCAGCTTCAGTTACTATCACTTTTCTAAAATAATAAATCATCTGTGCAAGGCATGTAATCTCGCCTGACATCCATAATCATTTTGAAAAGGGAATTTAATATTGGAAAAGGAAAGATATAATAATCCTTAAATTTGGTACAATGCCTTATGTCGTCGAGACGTCTCAAAACGGTTCACAGAATATATTGTAAAATGGGTTGACTGTGTATTTTGTAGGCGAAACGCACAAAATATATAAAAGAAAATATATAAAAGAAAATATAAAAGAGGATAAGAGGAAAAGACAGGGAAATGGGACTAAATGCTAACTCTTTCAGAGAGCCGTGATAGGCAAAATGATAAGCATAATGCACCCTAAAATTCTCTCTCCCTCTCTCATCAATGTGTTGCATCGCTCAGTGAAAGGGAGATAGGCAAAAGTGGAGGACTAATCATTTAAAGCACATTTTTGAATAATTTCAGTCCATCCATCTAGAAACTTTTCACGTATAGAAAAATGCTCACAAACGGGGCCAACTACACAATAGAAGCTACTTCCTCCGAGAGCCTTGAGGAAGATAAAATACGCTTGTTGCACTTGATATATCTGTGACTATAAAGCTCAAATGCAGCGATTGCTTTGCTAAGACTTTGCTAAGTATTGCTCGAGTGATTTTACATCCCTGAAACCTTGATCAATTCACTGAAGTAGGGCAGCTTGCTTTACTTTAAAGGCGATGGGAAATGAATTATATAGAGAGTGGTGATAATGTTAAAAAAAGACGTTTGTAGCAAATGACACCTTGTCAATGCAAAATGTATTTTTCAGAGCCTTGTGTCAGTCAGAAATCATTACACACGTATGTAAAACAATACAAGTGAGCCCACAGCACACAACTGGCCCCAATATTGATCCCTCTATTCTTTTCATCTGTCATTAAACCTTGTATTATTACTGTCATATGAAGTAGAGTGCTTGCACATAAAGCAGCATTGGTCATTGTATTGATTGTAACAGTTTAAAAGGCAGAATTAAAGTTTGTCCAACGCAAAATAAATACAGGCCATAGACACTTAAAAAGAACTTTTCTTCACCATCCAGTTAATTTCCTTTTATCTCTTTCATTTTCTGTCATTCGGGTTTACATGAACTGCAAAAATACTCTTTAACTGCACACATGGTGGGGCTTTTATTACCGTTGTTGAATGTATTACAGCAATTAGGTTTCTTAAACCACCATGAGTCTGTTTCTCCACATTTCATCCACCGATTAACTCCATTGAGCGATTCAGTAGCTAAGTAGCTTTTAATTTATTGGACGCTATTGCTGCCATTCTAAATTCAATACAGGTTAATTTCACACATCAATAGTGCAGCTAATCTCTTCACTAAAAATAGCAAAGTATTTATAAATGGATTTGGTATTTGGAAGTCTGAAATTCTAGCCTCTAGGACAATTCTGTCTTTAAATTTAGGATAGTGCAGAATTGTGGAAAAATTCTTAAATTCAATGGTAATTTGGTTGCCGGTTCATTTAAGAAGGGCATAAAATTAGATTTCATAAGACAGAATTTCCAAGTTTTCGCCAATCTTCCATTTTAAGACAGAATGGTCTCACTGGGTGCCACAAGGTGAAAATTCAGGCCTCAGATTTTGTATCAGGCTGCTGTACACATACGATAGCGATCGGCTGTTTCATGGTGAGCTAGCCTACATTGGGCAGGGAATTTAATGCCAAGTGGTGCTTGAGCTGGACTAAGGCAGCCATAAGCAGGAAACCCTTGGGAGCGCTCACAGTCTCCGGTCATTCAGCTCCCATGAGCGCAATCCGCATGCTGTATAATGGAATTTACCCTGGCTCTTTTTCCACACTTGCTTACTGGCAACGGGGTAAAAGGGAGAAAATGTACACACCACAGGTGAGAGTATCTACATTGATTGTCCAGGGCTGTGATTTAAATTCTTGGTCTATTACACAAAGCAATTTAAAATCTGTAACAAGCAGTCCCCTTTGTTTTGTTTGCAGTGTACAATTGCTGGTAGCGTAAATGCTCTAACTACAATAATAATAATCCTTGCATTTGATAATAGTGCCTTTGATGTCAAAACGTCTCAGGAAGCGCTTCACAGGCAATTGCTGTCAAATTGCAGCCAAAGTGAAGGCAACAAGCCACATTTTACATTAAAGAAAAGTTGAAGTTAGAGAAGAGGTGTTTTCAATGATTTGCCGTCAATGTTAATGTTATTTTTTATAGCGAGCTGTGCAATTTCAGATCTAATGAATTATACAAAGCGTTATATCAGGATGGTTTTATTCAATGTAGCCTTATTTAATATGAATGTGCTTGTAACTGTAACTAAATATGATGCCCTGGTGACAGAGATCAATGGCCAGTGTAGCGATTTCTGGTTTCTGCTGATATCAGTGGGGATAATAATTATATTAATAATAATCTTTGCATTTGATATAGCTCCGTATCACGTCTTCGAGATGTCTCAAAGTGCTTCAAAGAACATACTGTAAAGTGAATTGACTGTATATGAGCGAAACGCGGCAGCCAATTGAGCACAGCAGTGTTCCATAAACAGTCGGGGAGTGATCAAATTATTATTTATTTTTATTTTTATTTTTGAAGGGATTATTAGCCCCGGAAAAGCAATCTGCTGATCGACTAACAACCATAATACACAGCCCTGCAAGGACATGTATTTCACCTAGTCCAAGAGAAGACTCAATGCTTATTAGTTTACAAACTGAATAAAATTTAACAGATACAGAAATAATCAGTAAGCCCGTAACTTACACAGCGTTTTATAGTACTTGCCACACTTCCCTATGAAAAGAACACAATGCTTAACAGCAATTAGCTGTGAAGCACTTTGTTATGTTTTCAGTCTATAGACTCCATAACAAATGATTCTCAGGATATTAAAAGTGCATGTTTTATCATGGGATACACAAAGAAAATGAAGAACTGAGGAAAATTGCACTTGATAGAATGTTCTTACATTTCTCAAATATGAACATTGCACAACACTTCAATTTTTTCCTTAATAAAAATCAATACAAAGTGACTGTCCTTTAAAAAGAAAAGTACAACGCTCGAAAACATTTTTTAAATGCAATAATATTTCAGGCCGATTCCTCAAACTGTACAAAACTCCAGAGTGAAAATAAGAAGTGAAAAGAGTCAAATATTTCAGACGGCAGCAGAGATTCCATGAAGCTCAAACCTTCTGGGGAAGGTTAGAAAGGCTCCTGAACTGGCTCCTTACGGCTTTTAGGCTTGAATCCCGTTATCTCATCCCAACCCTTCCGACAGGTCCGGATTATCCACTCATTCTCGTCATCATCTGAAAGCAAAGAGCGAAGGAGTGAGATTTTCTTAGCAAAAATCACAAGTATAAGGGATTACAAGCTTGGTGCTCTCAGAAGGCCTACTCTGTCATCGATTGGGCCCGTATGTTCAATGACTTTAGAGATCACAATGCATTGACTCTAAACAGTGGGGCAAAAGTCCATTGTGATTCCTTTTGGAGTGTACACTGATGAAATTTATCTAAGACTTTTAGTTTTCCTATTTGTGCTCTGCACACTACTTCTGTCTCCAGATAACTCATTTTGGTTTAATTGGCAAAAAGCTTGTCAGCTCATTAGACTTTTGTCTTCCAAGAAGAGACTGGGAGCATAAGAGGAGCTACATGGGAATGTATTCAGAATAAAAAGGGCTGCTCAGTTGACATTTTGGCTCAGTTGGCAGCATGCTCAGATCTGGATCAGAAGATTGTTGGTTTAAGGCTACATTGGGATTTGAGCCTTTAGTCTAGGCTGACATTCTAGTTCAGTACGTGGAAATATTTACCATCCTTCGGATGAGATGTTACTCAAGGAGTCATCTACCGGTTTCAGGTGGACATTAATAATCCCATGACACCATTAAGAAAGGATTTTCTCCCAGTGTCCTGTCAATAATAACAATAATCCTTGCATTTGATATAGCACCTTATCAATAATCCTCCAGATGTAATTTGTCAATCAAATGGTTGCCACGTTTGCTTACAAGAACAGTCACTACACTTGGCAGTAATAATAATAATCCTTGCATTTGATACAGCTCCTTATCATGTCTTCTAGATGTCTCAAAGCGCTTCAATAATTTGTGAAGCACTTGGGACACATTTCATTGTGATAATGTGCTATAAATAGGCAGGTTCTTTGTTTATTCTGTTGTTGATCCTGTACAGCACACTGCACGACAGAACAGGTAAGTGTCGAAAAGGCATCAATCTGGCTCACAGGAAACAAGGGGCTGCTTATGAGAATTCCACCCACTCCTCAAAACAAGGGAAGTTCTGAATGTCCTATTCAATTGCAACCAGGATCAGTCAAAAAATAAAATGTAAGTTTGCCAGCAGGTTCAGGCTACAACTAGGTTGAAATTGACTCACTGCTTCAGAGGGAAATATTTCTAGCCTTGCATTTGCAATCAGCGAACACTTCGGCAAAGCGCTTTGTTATTTTACGACTCGCATGTCAGACCTCCTTGTCGTACTGATTATGCATTCTTTATTTTAACCCAGCGTACTGCTCGCATGGGGCTGAGCGCTGTGTTAAAGAAATGGATGATGAACATATTTTATCGGCAGAACCCTGTCGGATAATTGCAGTAGGTTTTATGGGCAATTTGAATCCGTGCAGCTGCAAGCTCTTCACTGGTACCCAGTGAAATAGATGAACTGGTCTATTCTTATGAACAAGCCTTAAATCCTTCCCTGATTGTTCATAATTAGCAGCGATGGCCTTAACAGCCACTTGACTAGCCTTTTCACACTCTACCTGGCTGTGTGGCGACCACATTAAATCCCAGATGCCCAGGCCGATTCCTGCCAGCTGCATGGAAACTAGGATACTTCCCCTTATTCTCCCTCGACCTCCGACAGTGGGTCAAACTCAAGAAGCACATTTCATCACTTTTTAAAAATGCAATTAATGCTCACGCTTTCATTAGCTGCTGCTTCTAGCTCCCTATAATTGCCATTAAGCTAACTGCGATTGTTGGCATATGGTAATTAAAGCTTAAATACAATCGCTCCACATATTCACAACTTTCAAATAATTTGTTCTCTTGAGAAACCAGCTCCATTTCCCCTTTTTAACATAACCAAGCGCTATAATCAACTGGAAATGATTATTTGGCTGGTGTTTGATCAGTTGGCAGTATCTTAACCTTATCCTTTGAACTTTTGTCGGACAATTTATCATTTATCCGAGGTAAATAAATAATAATCCTTGCATTTGATATAGCGCCTTATCACGTCTTTGAGACGTCTAAAAGCGCTTCACAGGATATACCGTGAAGTGAATTGACTGTGTATTTTGTGGGCGAAACGCAGCAGCCAATTGCCCACTGCAGTGCCCCACAAACAGTTGTGGATTGAGTGACCAATTGATTATTATTATTTAAGGAATTATTACCTCCAGAAAAGCGATCCGCCAATCGACTAACAACCAGGTTCCTACTTACTGCTACATAAACAGAGGCGTGTGGAGTAAGGAAACTTGCCCAACATTTCGCCCTGCCGGGAATTGAACCCAGGTCTCTTGCTTGCGAGGCGAGTGCTCTAACCACTGAGCTACAGGACTCCACAAATAGTATCATTACATGGATGAATTTTCTATTCCAAGATTTCTCATGTAACCTCTATGTCTCTGCAGCAGGAGTGAAACCGTGTGATATATTCAGTTGTAGCTCTCCCAGCCTCTGATGCTGTTATTTAGTAGCTGATCAGGAAAAGACTGAACGAAACCCAGGGTGAAAGAAACGCTGAGCTTTCTCAAGTCCATTGATGTAATCTATGAGCAGAATTATTAAAGGTGATACCGTAATATTAATACCGTATTTGTAGCAAATGGGAAGAAATTCCAAACATGAACATTATGACCTCATGCTTCTTTTACATCCCAGTGCCAGAGGGACCCTCGAGCAGATTTAAAGAGCACTGATTGTCGCTCTTTAAAGCAATCCCAGTTTTTACATTCATGAATGTTTTCTTGTTTCTTCTTTGCCGATCAACTGATCCCAAAATAACTGCAGCGCAATGTGTCCGAATATTAGGCAACTTTGCTCCTGGTCTTTTTTCCTTTTTAAGCTAAGATTATTTGAGCAACACCAATCGTGAAGAACAGGTAGCTCCTCGGCATGGCATCGCCATGTTGTTTTGAAGCTGGCGCCATGTGTTCAGTGCCAGCAACTAGCTGCAGAAACGACGACAGATCCTGTACCTTAAAGCGTCCGGGGTAAGTTCACCACCAGAGTGCTGTTTCAAATAGACTGACCCAATGTGATTAATGACCTGCTAGAACGGCCGCTTTAAAGAAAGGTAGAAATTCTTTTTTCAGTGGAACCTCGCTTCTTAATTACAGGAATGGCAAAGGAGGGATGCTTTCTTTTTACACCCAGTTTTATCAGCAAAAAAACACACTGGTCTCTGCAGAGAACATTTCAGAGGATGGGTTAAAGGCCGAGGAACCTGTGTATCCTTTATAGCCACTCCCAGAAGTGCAAGAGAGACAGCAGCACTTTCTGTTAACCTGTCTAGCCTTTGGAGCTACGTAGAGGACTTCCTGAATATTTCCTAACATCTGCTTTTGCTGGTTCGAAGCTCTGGCCAGAAGCCTTGGTGTTTCCTGCCCAGTCTACACTGAAGTGGTTTTGGGTCTGTCCCCTTTTATCGCAGCCTACTTTCACAGTTCCTCCTGCCTGCAGCTGTTCCTCCAACCTTCCTCTACAGCACTGGCCTTCTGGCCCAAGCTCCCTCCCTCGAGGGATCCCAGTTCCTTTGCATGTTGGTTTCTAAGTGCCTTTCGATTGTTTCTTTTCTTGAAGGAAGGTTGTTGGCAGTGTATCTTTTTTTTATTAAACACCCCTGTTGACGTGCTCCACTTTTAAAATTAGAGCTAAAATAAAACCAATGAGTTTTTTTTGTTTAAACAACTCATCAATTTTTGCACAGTGAAAATCAAGTAATCCTTGGGTATCTGGATGCCACCATCAGTTGGTAAAACAAGATATTTTACTCGTGTGAGAAAGGATCAAACATTGACAACTTAAACATTGGCAGCTCTGACTGAACATTGTTAAGAAGCTGTAAAATTCAGCACTCAAGCTTTTGAATTCATTGACGGTTATGAAATTTAAATACATCAGGAATACATACATCTTAAATATGCCTCCATATGAATAGAGGTCTTGTTTCCCCCACCATTCAAATTTTCTCTCTTCTCCTGAATTCAATGAGCTACCCTTGTGCAAGTGGCTATTCTTCATGTGTATTGCCAGCCAGCAAGTGTTGTCAGGCTACTTGATTGTAACGGTTATCACAGCTGAGCCTGATTCTATCTTTGCCCAAAGAACACCTACACTTCCTAGCACACATGGAAATCTCAGAGATATTTATTGGAATGGAATGCTCACTCTCTCGCTAGCGGGCCACATCCTGCTTGTCTAATTCCGGAAAGTATTAGGCGCAGGTTGGCAAAAGCCATGACTTGGGACCCAGAGTGTGCATTGGGGTTACTGCTGCAGTGTAACCAGCTAAAATTGCATAGCTTGCCATTGATAGGGCTGTCTGGCAAGCTCAAAATGGGATCTGACTGGCTCCACTTCACTCTGGACAGTAGCGTTACCAACTGAGCCAAGCAGGAAGAAGAGCTGTGCTATTGTTATGAACGTAAACTGAAACGAAACAGAGTCGGATGTGATTGATTGAACGCAATGCAAAACATTTACTGACAAGACAAAAAGCTGTGGGTATATGCAACTTTTTTTATGCATTAAAGAGGTGATGAAAAACAGTTACACAGAGAGCCAAGAGCAGGGCATTAGCACATATGTGGCTAACGCCAGCCAAAACACCAGAAGATAAAGAACATTGAATCTTGTAGTATTCTCAGTAAGAGAAAAGAAAATGACCAGCGTATACTTTCACAGACAAAACAAAACCACTGCTTCTAAGAAACCTACCGGCGTTACGGAGAAATTTATTGTTGTAATCATAGACTATTCTTTCTTCGGGGTTATAGAAGCCATCACCACAGTCATAACATCCTTCTGGAATTGTTCTTGGAGGATCCAGGTCCGTAAGCTGAGAACGACCTTAGTCAGGTGCAGAAACATTAATAGATTACACTCACATCCCATTTATGTGCACGTTTTACAAGTAGTCTAATAGTTGGGATTATTGCACTCATTTTCACTGAGTGGGTTTGAAACTGTTGTAAACTGAGATGAAACTTTGACAGGTCTAGGAACACCAACAAGCTAAATTGCTCCTTATAAGAGTTCCAACTACTTGGATTAAATCATATATGGGTTTAGTGTTTAGCTCCTCCGGGGACTAAATAGGCAAAATCGCTGCCAAGAGTCAAAATGAGTCATACGCCCAGGAGGCCCCTCCCTGGTCTGGGCTAACGTAGCTGATCTTGGCTCTGATGGGAATAAAAGTGCTACAATCAGCTTCAGCTTCTGGTAGGAGGAGGAAGGCGGGGGGGAAATCAGCCAGGTTACCCAGTCCTGGTTTACACCCTACTGCCGTTAGGTTAGGACAAGGCTTAAATCGACATTCCTCCTCCTCCTTCCCAACAACAGCCTCCTGACACTCACTGCCTCAGCTCACAAGACTGGCCCCTTGAGCGAGGTCCTGGAGGGCAACCCCAACACCTATGTGTGCACTTCAGCATCAATCAGGAACTTCAGAAGAGGAGAATTCTGTAACCAATGCAGAGTAACCACACAAAGAATGGCAGAGATGGTACAATGTAATTGAAAGGAAATGAAGATAATACAGTCATATCCAAAGGGATTTGATATCCAGTAATGCCTTTAAACATCATCTCTATATAACATACAGGATCACTAGTTTTGAATGTGACCCTACAGCACATTAATTCATAAAATACTACACACTCAATTTTACATTCAGGTCATTCGAAATGCCAGCTCCCCTGCAGGAGCTATCTGGTCTAATCTCATTTCCTTGCTCCTTCCCTGTATTCTTTTATTCTTTTACAAGAGTTAATTGGCTTGACCTCAATAGCTACTTGCAGTAACGCCTCTACATTCTAATAGTCCTCTGTGTAAAATACATTTCTTCTAACCTCCTTTGCGCTGCTAGCAACAATCTTGAGTTGATGCTTCCCACTTTGCCATTTCGCCACCCAATGGAAATAATTTTTCACCCTTGACTCGCTCAATCCATTGCATCATTTTGAACCATCTTAACTGGATCCCTCACTGTTCGTGTGCTTTCCCTGCTTCTATTTTAAATTGCTGAACAATGTACCTGCTGGTTTCAATCCATTGCATATTTCAGTGTAAAAGCGTCTGTCATATGCGTCGCAATAATTCCAGTCTTCATCACTGTATTTCAGCCCATCTGCAAATATGTATTTGCCCTAAAATGAAACACAGATGGTCAACTGATTTCAGACACAAGCTTGGGGGTCCTGAAGAGTCAGTGTCAGACTTTGTTGCAAGTGATATAGATCAAGACATGGAGAGCTGTTTTTATTTCTAACTGATACAGATCACTGTGGGATGTTAGACCTGCTTGGGACATGGATGGGTAGCGAGAAGCGGATTTTAGCCAATCAGGAGGGCCTCGGTCAACAAGCCTGAGGCCCTTCTGATTGACTCCCGTCAGCGCCTCCACACCTCAGGCACTGACAGCATCACCATCCATGAATGCACACTCCACCTTACAAAGCCAGTCCAGAACCTTGGCAACTTGCTTGACCCTCAACTACCCTTTCTACCCCACATCTGTACCACTCTGCCTTCCCCCACATCCGCAATACAATAATAATAATCCTTGCATTTGCTACAGCGCTTTTCACGTCTTCTAGATGTCTCAAAGGGTTTCACAGAATATGCTGTAAAGTGAATTGAATGTATATTTGTGGGCGAAACGCGGCAGCCAATTGTCCCACAAACAGTCGTGGATTGAATCCTCAGCCTTTGTAAAGCCAGTTGAGAGCATTCTAATGAAAAGGTGCTATTAAATAAGTGCAAATTCTTGTTGTTGTTGTTGTTGTTTCAAGGCAAAGTGTTGTGCGAGCTCAGAGTGAAAAAAAATTCAGGGAATTGAAATGGCCGGGGTGGAGACGAAGTTCTAAAGAAAAGGGGTGGTGAAATTAGGAAATCAGGAGCTGGGGAGGTTCAAGGACTGAGCATCTACAGCCTTCTGGGGGAGTGAATTCCATAAATTCACAACCCTCTGAGTGAAGAAATGTTTCAACTCTGTTCCAAAAGGCTGACCCTTAATTTTAAGACTGTGACCCCTGGTTATAGATTGTCCTACCAGGGGAAACAGTCCCTCAGCGTCTACTTTATCAGCCCTTTAAGAATCTTATATGTTTCAATAAGATCTCCCCTAATTTTTCTTGGTTCTCCTTTGTTGATCCTTAAAGTTCTCCCAATCCTCAGGTTTACTACTCACCCCAATTACAAACAAGTTTTGAATGCAGGAGATTGACTGAGTAAGTGCAGCCATTGAGTACCAAAGCGAAGAAAAAAATCTGTAACGGCAACTGCATTTCAGCTCGCACAACACCCTGCCTTGAAACAACAACAACGATGTGCACTTATTTAATAGCACCTTTCACGAAGAGAGAGCAACAACAACTTGCATTTACACAGCGTGGGGTAGCGTCCCGGAGCGCTTGACAGTGGCGGAGACTGACAACGAACCAGGGGGAGAGAGTTGGGGGAGGTGACCGTAAGCACAACCAAAAACAAAGGTCTTTAGGCGGGATTTGGAGGTGGGGAGGGATTGATGGAGTTAATAATAATAATAATAATCCTTGCATTTGATATAGCGCTTTTCACGTCTTCTCAAAGTCTCAAAGTGCTTCACGGAATAGACAGTAAAGTGGATTGACTGCATTTTTTTTGTAGGCGAAACGCGGCAGCCAATTGCGCACAGCAGTGTCCCACAAACAGTCGTGGATTGAAAGTGACCAATTTTATTATTGTTTTGTTTTGGATGATTATTCTTAGCCGTGTGGAGCAAGGAAACTTGCCCAAGGTTTCGCCCTCTGCCTGGAATTGAACCCAGGTGTCTTGCTTGCAAGGCGAGGGCTCTAACCACTGAGCTACAGGACTCCACAAATAGTATCATTACATGGATGAATTTTCTATTCCAAGATTTCTCATGTAACCTCTATGTATCTGCAGCAGGAGTGAAACCGTGTGATACAGTCAGTTGTAGCTCTCCCAGCCTCTGTTCGCCCGACTCTGCCACTGTCTCATACCACAGGCTGCCAAAACCCTCATGCTCGCATTCATAACATCCAAGCATGACTATGCAAACTCCTTGCTTATCAGCCTCCCCGACTCCTCCCTCCATAGACTGCAGATCATCCAAAACTCTGCAGCCCATGTCATCTCCCGCACCAAGCTCCGTGATCCTAACATCCCCATCCTCGCCCGACTTCACTTTTTTCCCCATCACACAGAGGATACAGTTCAAGATCCAGGTCCTCACCTTCAAAGCCCTCCATGGCCTTTCTCCCCAGCTCCAGCCTGCTTCAGGTCCTCCACCTCACCTGCCGCACCATTGGCATGTGGCCTTCTGTTACTCTGCCCCCACCCTCTGTATCTCCATCCCACAGGCCCTCCGCCTCACCCCCTCCCTTGCCTCCTTCAAGCCCATCTCAAGCCCCTCCTCTTTGACCGTGCTTTCGATCACCCTGCTTTCCACCCCCTGCCCTCCAACCTCCCCAATCCCGACCCCCAACTCGGGTCCGAAACACTGACCGTCTGGACGTCTTCCCAACCTGAAAGGCTCTATACAAATGTAATTTTGTTGTTGTTGTTAACCATACTTCTCTTGATCCCTCCACAGACCAAATCTTAAATAGTGTAGGCATAACCGGAAAAGCAGTGAGAAGCTGTGTTCGGCTTCTGATGAGGGATATATGTCATGGAAGGACTGGTATAGTAAGACTATGCTTAGAACATACCGATAATTTAACTCCGTTTTTCCAAAAGGCTTCGTATTTGCTTCCATTGGGAAAGTACAAGGTACCTTGACCATGAAACAGGCCATCTTTCATCCCTCCTTCGTATATGGTGTCTGTTGGGAGGGTATACTTACCATGTCCCTCCATCCTGAAAACAGGAAATTATTTAGCAGGAAATAGAGGGAAAGAAAAGGTGGAAAGAAGCTGATATAAAGAAAATTAGATACGACAGGTTAATAATTGTAATCATTGTTACAAGGATAAGAGTTTCAGACACATAAAATCTTACATTTGATTTAGCACTAATCCCCAACACACATCCGTGCCGTGACTCTGCTTTCCTCCACCTTTGCGACATTTGCCACCTCCGCCACTCCCTCTCCCTTTAGGCTGCCGTCCTAACCCTGATCCATGCTTTCATTACGTCCAGGCTTGACTATGCTAACTCCCTGCTCGCCAAAGTTCCTAACTCTTCCCTCCACAAAATGCAGATTATTCAAAACTCTGCAGCTCGGGTCCTCTCCTGCACAAAGCTCCATGAGCTGATCAACCTCATCCTTACCTGGCTTCATTTGCTCCCCAACCCCGAGTTCAAGATCCTCAATCTCACTTTTAAAGCCCTCCCAGTCTTGCTCCTCACTACCTCTGCAACCTACTAAAACCTTACCAATGTGTCTGCTCCCTCCATTCATTGGGAACTGGCCTGTTCCATATCCCCCGCCCCGGGCTCCTCCATATTTCCATATCCCCGACCTTCAGCCATTCTGCCCCTATCCTCTGGAACTCAATCCCAGACTCCCTTCACCTCACCCAGACATCTCTTGCCTCCTTCAAGGCCCATTTCAAGACCTTCCGCTTTGACCATTGCCTTCAGTCATCCTTCCACCTTCAACCCTTGCCCTCCACACCTCTTGACTCCAACCCCTAGCTCAGGTGCAAACCCTTCACTGATCAGCGCTTTGTGACGTCCTCCTGACAAGCTCTATATAAATGCCATTTGTTGTTGTTCTGTGTCAAAATATCTCATGTCACATGTTGAGTTACTCTGAAGTGGTGTGAAGAGGTGAATTTTCTCTCATTAAAAATGGCCTACTACAATAAAATTGGTAAATCAGTAGTAAAGAGGGCAGTGGGAACCATACCACATCACCTTTAGGTGAGGGGAAGGAGACAATTTGGGAAACAAACTTCAAGTGAAAAAGTGTATGTGTATTGCAATATAGATCAGACAATCGTGTACTCAAAGCTTGGCTTGAGTGGTTCATTCTGTCATCTTGAATCTCTCGGGTACATTGAAAGACTAGCAGCCATCTGTTCCTGTCTATGTAATCAGAATGTGTATGCGGGAATAATTCCTGATTTGCATGTAATGGGCTGAGATGCAGTTCAGTTTGTGGAAAGAGTGATTTATACAAAACCCATTCTAATTCTTAACAGAGGTCTGCAGAGACTGATAGGTATGGTCTGGTAGCAGTTCAAGAATGCATGTTAATTATTTCTACAAACAGAGAATTGTTTTCATTTTCATTGCAATAAATATGCCTGCATTTGAAGTAGCACCTTGTAAAGTCAAAACCAGTCAAAGTGCTTCAGACGATGTAGTGCCTTTGTGTAGTGACTGTTTTTAATGTAGGGAAATACCTTAGCTAATGTGTGTCAGCAATGTCCAAAAGCTGCTTTGCCCAATTAACTTTTTTGGCAGTGTTTGTTTTGGATCAGGGAATAATATAATGGGCAGAACTCTGGGAGAACACCCAAATCTTCTTTGAAATAGTGCTACCGAATCTTTAGCAAGCATTTTGAACACAAGAACAAACAGTCTTAAACTTTTGTTTAATGCCTCATCTGAAGGATGGCTTGTCTGATAGTGCATTCAGTCCAGATTATGATCTCATTTCCTCGGGTGAAGCTTGATGTCACAACCTACTAACCCAGAAATGAGAGTGCTCCAACTGACATAAACGGCCACTACTCTCAAGAAAATCAGAAGGCCATCCACCAGACTGGTTGGGATGGGGATTATATTAATAATAATCCTTGCATTTGGTTTGGTGCCTCATCACGTCGGAAGGACATCTCAAAGCAATTTGCAATTTACTGTGAGACTGTGTATTTGTAGGCAAAAGCTGCAACACAAGTGCCGACATCAATGTCCCACAAACAGGTGTGAAACAAGTGACCAATCTTATTCGGGGGACTGTGGTCCAGGACACAGGGAGAGAGAGAGAAACTCCCTTCTCTTTTCGAATAGCGCTACGGGATCTTTACCGCCCACCTGATCAGGCAGGTGGGACATCGATTTTGCGTCTCATCCGGAGGACGGCACCTTTGACAATGCGACACTTCCCACGGGAGCGTCATCTTAGGCAGTGTGATTCCAGGTCCCAAACTGGGGCGTGAAACCCACAACCGGCTGACTCACGAGGCGAGAGCGCTACCGCCGCCGCACCGGGCTGACGCGCAACTACTTGGGGAGTGGGAAGGAGAGCGGGCCAGACGGATCAAGTGACTTGTTCTCCTTTGCACTTGTACCTGATCCCTGTGGCTCTGGGTTCGCTACAAGCCTCCCCTCCCTCCCTGGCTTTTCCTCATGAGGGACAGGTGGTGTCGTTTGGGGGGGGGGAAGGGGGGGAAGAGAGGAGCGGGGAATCATTCCTGAGTCTTTCTCCCGCTCTCCGTACCTGCCATTTTTATACTCGCCGACATAGCTGCTGCCGGTGTACTCCATTGCCCGTTGGGGCCTCTCCGGGTTTCGATGCGCCTCCGCTCAGCTTTCCGCCGACAACCGCCTCACCATAGCAACGACCTATGACCTCCCATCACCCCCCACCCCTCCCGCGCGCTTAGAGGCCGTTTGTCCTTCAAACAGACACAACGATCACTATTTCGGCCCATTTTAATTTCAACCGCGAGAGCCGCGATATCTTCCCCGCGAACCAAACAAACAAACAAACCGCCCCTCCCCCCCCCCTCGCGCCTGTCATTTAAAACGAAATTCGTTCGAGCGCGAACCCTTTGCCCACGGGGTCGGACGGCCGCCGAGCGCGAGCGAAGGACTGCGCGCGCGCGCGCGACTCGTCTCGCCCGAGACGGAACCCAACGCGCTCGGCGCGGCTGCGTCGATGGACGTCTCCGGGCACCAATCAGACGCCGGAAGGCCCGCCGGCCGCCTTCAAAGTGACCAATCAGCGCGAGGAGGGCGGGGCGGGCGGGTAAGCGAGGCGCCAGCACGTTAGGTCGCGCGTGCGTGCGTGCGTGCGCGCGCGCGCAGGCGCAGTGCGCTGACCTTCTGCCGGTGCCTTTGGGCCTGAGCTTGTTGTTGTGGGGTTGTCGCCGCTTCGGCCGCGCTCGATTTTTCCGCCTCTCCCCCCCCCACCCGCCGCCGCCGCCGCCGCCATCCCTTCCCAGTGAGGCAAACCATGACGCCGACGGTGGCTGCGGCCGAGCCCGAGCTCCAGCTGCCGACCTTCCAGCAGCTGAACGTGCAGGAGGTGAACGTGACGTCGTCGGTGCTGAAGGCGGCCGCTCACCACCTGGGCTCGCAGTGCGACCGCGCCAACAAGGAGTTCATGCTGTGCCGCTGGGAGGAGAAGGACCCGCGGAAATGCCTCCAGGAAGGCAGGCAGGTCAACGAGTGCGCCCTGGACTTCTTCAGGTACCTCAGTTCCGGTCAGGCCTGGAGCTTTGGGGTGGGGGGGCTGCCCTCAACGGTGTCCATAAGGTGTCACCTTGCCCACCCCTCCCCTCCCCCACCCTGGCCTTGCCCACCCCTCCCCTACCCCACCCTGGCCTTGCCCACCCCTCCCCTCCCCCACCCTGGCCATGCCTACTTATCACGGCCCAGTTCAAGACCCTCCTCTTCGACCCCACCTTAGGTCACCCACCCTCACCCCACCCTCCCTTCCCCCCACCCACCCACCCACCCAATCCCTTCTGATCCCAACCCTCGTTTCGCCCACAAACTACATGGACCTACGGTCAATTCACTTTACAGCTGATCCCGTGAAGCGCTTTGAGACGTCTCGAAGAACTGGTAAAGCGTTACGTCAAATGCAAGGATTATCATAATAACCCGCGACTCGGGTCTAAATCCCTGACTGTCCTGCGCTTTGGGAGGTCCTCCCAATGTAAAAGACGCTATATAAATGTAATTTGTTGTGGTTGCTTGGTAGCGCTCTGGCTTCTGGCTCAGAAGGTTGTGGGTTCAACCCCACAAAGTAATAATAATAATAATAATCCTTGCATTTGATATAGCGCTCTTCACGTCGGGAGGACATCCCAAAGCACTTCACAGAACACACTGTAAAGTGTATTGACTGTATATTTGTGGGCGAACGCGGCAGCCAATTGCGCACAGCAATGTCCCACAAACAGTCGTGGATTGAAAATGACAAATTTATTATTGTTTTTGGTTTTGGAGGGACTATTATTAGGCTCTGTGTGGAGTAAGGAAACTTGCCCAAGGTTTCGCCCTCTGCCTGGAATTGAACTCAGGTCTCTCACTTGCAAAGCGAGTGCTCTAACCACTGAGCTACAGGACTCCACGTAGGGACTCAGCTCATAGTCCAAGCTAGGAGGGGGGGGGGTAGTGCTGAATTGTTGGAAATGTTGCCCGTCCAGTTAGATGTTAAACCCATGCTGTCTGCCCATTTTTTTTGAAAAAGAAAGGTCCAATGACACACAATACAATTTACACTTATACAGTGTATAGGAGGGTGTCCCAGGACTTCTCCTGGTCAACAATCCTACAGATAAATTGATTATTCACTTCATGACAGTTTATGGGACCTTGTTCTGTGGAAATCGCTTTAGCCTACACTTGACAATAATTAGCCGTGAAGCGTTTTGTGCTATTGTGACCATTCATCACATTGCAAGGATTATTATTGTATTTCTCCAGGCTGGAGTTGGCTCTGAACCGATGTGTCTGGTAAAACTAGGCAGCTCTGCAGCACCTGTCTGGCTCATCATGTATGTTTGCCTACAAAGACACTGTCACCACACAGAAACTTTGAAGTGCTTTGAGACATTTATGACATAATTCTCATTATATGAAATGTAAGAATTATTATCAGTGAGACTTGGCAGTGCAAACATGTCCTCTTCTCTGCTGGATAGGTGCTAGACGGTAGTTATTTTTTAAATAGCTGAAAATGCAGTTTTAGTTGCAAATTTTAGCAATTTTTAAAAAAAGGTTTATACTGAAATATTTGCTTAGTGCACGAAAACTGTTATGAGTAATGTCACTCAGATTGTAACAGGCACAGAAAAGTGCCTAAATGTGTATCTTCACTTGCTGACCAAATAAACATCAGTGAATTTAGTTTTAATCTGGGGTCACTCATGTTATAGGTATCAATGAGAATATCAAGCTAGGTTGGTGCTTTGCAGCTGACTGGTGCATTTATTAGTTCATTGTTAATTTCAGAAACTAAATGATCTCAATTCACTCAAGGAAACAAACCTAAAACATCAGTAGCAGATCCGTTCAGATAAGGTGCAGTGCTAAGTTGCAAAGTTTCTTCTCCTTTTATCTGTATCATTCTGTTTTAAAGTTTGTGCAAGTACTTGGCTCTTGCATACAGCTTCAGGAGCCAATGTGCTTTTGTGCCAGATTGTATGGAAAGTTACAGTTTCTTTGTAGTGAAGAAGCTGATAACGATTAGGAACAATTAGTATAATTGAGAGGTGGATCATTAAAAAGCTACATATTTTTCAAGAAACTATACAGTGTCAAAATTCTTAACTGACTTAATGTATGACACAAAACAATTCCCTTGCAACTTTTATCAAACTAGCCTTGATGCTTTTGCCAGAATTTTTGGCGCACTTATTGTTTGCCATATGGTTTTACAGTTGAATCGTTAAAATGATTTTGGCAGTTGTCGATGCGTTTAACATTTTCAGGATTTAAAAATGAAGTTGTGTATTTGTAAATAAAGTGTCTTAAACAGATTCCTATGAAACTGAGGAATGAGAATATTCTGACCTCAAGTGTCTAAGCTACATATCAGAACCTAAGAACTGCTGCTCAGGTTTCATATCATTGTATTTAAAAGACGACTTAACTTAAAGATCGGGGGAGGGAAACTTGTGTCTGAATGATTAATGGTTGTAGAGTAAAACCTATATGAGTCATTTCTACCACCTCAGCTTTTTCGGGTGTACACAATTCAGATATTTAGTGAATGCATTACAAAAATTGCATGAAAGTGTTTTGCACACATTGAATGCTGCTGACAATAGATTTTGGAGATGGATTGATCAATTGGTGATCTTCATTTAAATTGAAATCTACATTATTAATGCAACATGCCTTAAATAGTTCAACATGCAATAACACTAAGTTGTAATTGAATGTTATAAAGCGAGGTCTGTGCACTTATTGGGGTCCATCACTGCTCATTAGGTGGCATATCTGTGTTTTTGTGTGTACAACTTTTTTGGATCTTTTCCAATAATGATATAATAAAGATAAGAGGCAATGGAGGGCACTGTTGTGTCGTCATGAGATTTGTACTTTCTAATGTTTGTACTTGCAAACCCTTAAACAGGGCTGCAGTAGAGCGGTTTGTTCAGCTCTCTGAATCAGTTTCTTGTGGTCATCGTGTGTAATTTGCATTATCATTTGAGTTGTGCATTTTTTTTGTAGTTCATTTCTAAAGCTTTATAGTGGCTCATAAAATTTTGTAAAAAGCCCCTCAAAAAACTCTGCACCATGTGTAACATATTGCAATTCCCAGTCCATCTTCCCTGCAAAAATATTTGCCAAGTTTTTAATGCTGTTTGGGACAGATAAACTTTCTTGGAACTGTTTTTATGAAGAAGAACATAAAATTATGCGGTTTTGCAATTTTACTGTAAACTATTGCCTTGTGCCGTTTATTATCGTTACTGTGTTTACTGTTGAAGCACTTTGCATGATCTTTCTAAATTTAATTTATGTCATCGGGGGAGCTGAATTTCTAAAAGTACCAAATGTTTTTTCTCACATAGGAAAATAAAGAGCAACTGTGCTGAGCCTTTCACCGAATATTGGACCTGCCTTGATTATGACAACCTGCAAGAACTTCGCCGGTGCCGCAAGCAACAGGCAGTTTTTGATAACTGTGTGTTAGACAAGCTGGGCTGGGTTCGACCTGAGCTAGGAGAACTCTCCAAGGTAGAGTAGAAACCTCAAATACTGCCTGAGAACCACAGAACTGCGGAGTTGTTTCTCCTTAGAGGACTATAGCAAGCACAGAGGGAGGTTCTGTTATGATCGATGATAACTTGAGGCCTGCAATATTTCGCATCAAACTAAATCAAATAGTCTTGCTGTAGTACTCCAAATAGGCCAGTTATACCACAAAGTGTGGGTTAAACCTATATATCTTATAACTGCCATTGGCCCACTTGTACAATTTAAGCAAAACTGTTCCTGATAACTATTCACTGACGAGCATTCTATGTATGCTCTCCATCTCCTTATCTATTCTGCTGTATCATGTTTTTTTAAAAAAAATAGTGGCCTATCTGCACCAAAAATCCTGCAGGTTAACGTGGTTAAGTATGTAAGTTGAAACTTGTGAGGAATTTATCCTTCAGTTGTTCTCCGTTACGTTGGCTGACACAGTGGCTTTTTGCCAGCAGACTTCGTACACATCTTACTGCAGGCTTCTTCAGACAATTTAGCAGTCATCCAGCTGTACATATTCTGGCATTTTCAAGTACCCTCTGCCAGTATTTTCCTCCTGGGATGTGAACCCAGGTTTAATAGTTGTGAGAAAAAAAAGTTCTGTATTTATTGTGGGCTCCACGCCAAGGCTTTTTTGTTCGTCCCATTTGCTTAACGTTACTATTTAAGTTTTCATTGTAAAGATTTTCGTTATGTTTAACCTTCTGTAGACTGTACAAATGTGATTATTCCTCAGCCCCGAGAATTTTCTCCTGAAGCTAGGATACAAGTGCTTTCGTGTCACTTAGTACCTTGCACAAGTGTTGCTTCCTCATGTGCTAGCCTGGACGCTGATTGTCAACAGACTGTTCAGCTACAGCAGCCACCCAATCCTGCCATTAGACAAAGTCCACACATTTGAATCCAACAGAGGGTCAGTGCAGAGTAACTGGGAGCAGGAAAACCTGACCTTTGTTTCTTCATCGTCTCTTTTCACCCTGGCCCCCTCTCCAAAGCCCAGGGTTGTGTGTGAGCGCACGCACGTGTGTTTACACACATTAAATATTCTGTAAATGCAAAAAAAATTAAAATTAAATACTATTGCTAGTCTCAATCTAATTCAGTTATTTTGCAATATGTCTATTTCAGAATCCAGAAATACTAAAGAGTGTGAAAGATGATTTGTATACTCGGTCAGTTCCTTTCTGAGGATCTAGTGTGAAATGCTCCCACATCCTTAGCTGATGTACATATTGTAAAACAATCCTGTGTGTATCTGTTGGACGTGTGTGCGAACTTATTTTCTAGACTTCCCAAGTGGTTCATAATTAGACTTGTTTAATCTAAAACTATGTAACTAAACTTTATAAAAAAGATTGGAGAAGTAATTTTCATCTGATGTGTTGCTAACCTTCTGATAATCCACTATGGATTATTTTATAATGTGCTTATATACCCACAAATATTCAGTACTTCGAGGTGTATAGTAAATCCAACAGAAGCAATTTGGGATCATGTTTCATACAGCTAGCTATACATGGAATGTTTTATACACGTCTCTCGTTCTAAGTTTAAACTGTACAGAAAATGTATGGTAGATTTTCTAATGAATTGTGTATTTTGGAAGTTATAAAGAACATTCAGTACTCTGAAGGTTAATGCGCTGGCAATGAACCGTGTTCAAAATTACTTTGTAGTACTGCTGGAATTTTAAAAAAAACAAGTTTCCCTTCCCGTTACAGATTAGTATGTAGCTAATGGTCCATCCAAGCCTTCGTGATACTGAATGAAAAGGATAGGATGTCTGGTCTGAGAGAAGAAAAAATTTCAGCCAAAACGTAATCACAGATGCATTGACCATTGCATCCAAATGGAGGATGTTTCTAGTTCACGCTAAGTGATTGCTGTCTTTAATGGAAAGTGTGGCTTTGTACATTACGTGCTTATATAGGTAATCAGAGTAAAGAGATCATGCAAGTGAAACAGCAAAGGTTCTGGAATGCAACTCTATCGTTACAAAGGGATCCTTTTACATATTTGCAAAATGTCTCACTTGCTGCCAGCTGCTGAAATGTGCTCACGAAATAGAGCGCACAAGAACCACCGGCCCAAGTCTAGGAAGTTGCATTTTGTTATGAAGGACAGAACGAGCAGGAAATCTTCTATGAAAGTCCTGGCTAGTGGCTGCACGACTTGAGGTTCGAGCTACAGAAGGAAATGGCTATCATTCAAGGCTGAGGTTAACCAATACCGATATATAGAAATTGTGATATTGAGCTTATAAGCTATAGATTTCAAGAAAAAAAAGTGGGAGAGAAATGTGCAGCTGAGCAACAGATAAGTTTTATTTTTTTGCAAATTTTAACTGAATTGTCTCCTATCCGCACAGTGATTTCAACAGCAAATTACAATAGTTTCGGATTGAATGCAGGAATTTGATGTTTACCGATCTTTAGTACAATTCGGTCTGATAAATGTATTAACCAAGATTGGGTTGCAATAACTTTGCATTTTTTGGCGGCATGAAAAACTATTTGACTTGATTCAATCTCCAGTTAAATCAGCTGCACTGATGTGTGTCAGATGTGTAACCGTGACTTGCACAGCTTGGAGTATTTTTCTCTGTTCTGATATGCTTACGGTGTACTTCACAGGTCACAAAAGTGAAGACAGACAGGCCTGTCCCGGAGAATGTCTTCTGCTCAAGGCCAAGACCGGAGCCCAATCTACCCATTGAAGGGGACTTGAAGCCTTCCAAATATGGCAGCAAGCTCTTCTTTTGGTCCTGGTGAAGGCTGAAGACTTGGTGCTTATCCAAGAGATTGGTGAATTTAACAATGCTGACTGTGACAAAACTGTACGGATGATAAAATACCTTGTCAACTGTACCACAGATATCCTTATAAATACCTTCATGAGAAATAAAAATGTTATTTAATCTTTCTTCTTGTTGCTGAAATTGTTTTCTCTTCCCCCTCCTCCCCCAATCCCTTTCCAAATTGTACCACCTCTTGCTGAAGATAGAAATATGTACAGTGGGTTCCAGGTATGGCTGGCATGCTCTGTAGTTTTAGCTTTTGGAACAGAATTGGGTGAATGTTTCCATTCAGAAGCTTGTTGGATATAAAATGGAAACCATTCTCTGTTGATCAACTCAGTCCTCCAATTTCTAATGAATTATTTTTGCCGAATTGCCTTAAGGGACTGTTAATGTGATGCTTTGCAAAACATTTCTTCCTGTCTTAAAAAGAACAAGGCCACAGCATTCTGGTTTGAATCCCAGGTTATAATAATATTAATCCTTGCATTTGGTATAGTGCCTTATCACATCTTCAAGACGTCTCAAATCGCTTCACGGAATATACTGTAAAGTGAGTTGAACGTATATTTTGTGGGCGAAACGCAGCAAAGGTTCTCCATACCTTTGTCCTATCTTTGCTAAAGACCTTTGTCCTAGATTTGTTGGGTTACAAAATCGAGGGAGATGTTAGTTCGTTTAACCTCTGTTGGTGGATGCACAGAGAATATTACCAAATATTATTAAAAATTTATTGGTATCATTTTTTTCCTGGTTATATTGGCATTGTTACCACTATCATTTTCCATATCTATATTATTAATATTGGTGGAACCGATCAGATTACTGTTGTAGGTGTCATTAAAAGCCATTAGAAATATTAATCAAACATTTTCATTAAACAAATCTTTTGAGTTGAAAGTTTCCAAGCATTCTTGAATAATGATGCAGTGTGAGTTACATGTTACTTGCAGGTTCTGTATATGCTAAAATGCATTGAGAAGTTTACATTGTTCTGTACCTTTTGGGAGCGATCCAAATTTCAGAGCCAGGGGCATTCCTTGGGTCAGGGATCATTCTTTTTTCAAAATAATATCTGGCTCAGTAATTACCATCGTGTGCAGTATTGCTGCTTCGCTGAATGAGCCAAACTTTGTTCAGGTTACAATTTTTTTTTTTAGCCAATGCATGTAATTTCCCCAGCTAATAAAACTTAGCTACAAATCAATTTTATGATTTATTACTGAAAAATGTCAACTATTCCAAACATAACCGAATCCAGATGAAATATTTGCACAGAGCTGTGGTCGCATCGATTGATTTTAATAGCAAGAATTATTTAGAGACAAAAATATGAATCCTGTTTGGTAAAGCTTTTCTTTCATACGCCGTGCTCTAATTTTAACAGAGGGAGTTTAAATCTGACCCGGACTGGTGCGATGAGACTTGTGTTTGCCTGTAAGGGTCTTAAGTGAATTGATTCGGTGCTCAGTGGTTAGAGCACTCGCCTCATAAGCGAGAGACCTGGGTTTGATTCCCAGCAGGGCGAAACCTTGGGCAAGGTTCCTTACTCCACAAGTTTCCTTACTCCAAGTGAATGACCGAATTTTATTTATGGGATTGTTAGCAAGGATACCAGGGGAAAATCCCTTCTCTTTCCATGCGTTACAATCGCATAGATTTGTGAAAAATTCTTCAATTCGGCCTGAGTTTAGAAACCAGTTCTCTTTAAGAACCGCGGCTTCCAATTTATGGCTAAATTGAATTTCTTGCAGTTCTGTGCAATCTTAAATTTGAAGACCAAATGGTCTTGAAGGATAAATGTGGGTTGAAATGTGTGCCTGAGTTTGAGTTAAACGGTGCAAGTGGTTGTTTGCTTGGCCTCTAGAGCTCTTACTTATTTTCCCCTGGAAGTCTGGCAGAAGGAAAGGCTTTAAAAGCCTCAAGGAAAGTATTGGTGAAAGTACATATTTTTGATTTTTTAAAAATATACATATATGACAACAACTTATAATAATACTTGCATTTGATTTAGCGCCTTATCACATCTTCGAGATGTCTCAAAGCGCTTCACAGTATATACTGTAAAGTGAACTGACTATATTTTATGGATGAATATTTTGCATTTATCCGACGCCCTTCACCCCGGACGGCGTCTCAGAGTGCTGAGCGAGGAAATTTGCGGTCACAGTGTCTCCACAAAGTCAGACGGCTTGAGAGAGAGAGAGAGATCGTGCTCAGGGCAAATGGTTTCCCATTGCAGTTCTTCCAGGTGTGGTCTTTGTTGGCTGGAGGGTCAGGAAGCTGCTGACAGATAGTCCTGACCCTGGCAATGTGCAAGCGGCAGGGGGCCTACACTCAGCCCGAGGTGTGGTCACAGGGCTCGTGGCAGTCTGTGCTCTGAGGTGCACAAAGGAAGGTAGAGGTCACAGTCAGTCAGCTGTGACGCTCACAGGAAGCAGATTCTGGCAATAGAAAGAAACACAATACATCAGAAGCAAATGTAATTGTTTGTGAGACAGAGGAAGAACTTCTAGACATATCTTCCAATTCACACTTCAATTCTAAATATTAGATGTTTCGTTTCCTGTAACTATTTCAGTGGCGACAAACACAGTTTTAAAGACATAATGATAGCAATCCTTGCATTTGATATAGTGTCTGATCACGTCGGTGAGACTTCTCGAAGCGCTTCGCAGAAGATCTTGTAAAGTGGATTGACTATTTTGTGGGTGAAAAATATATGCAGAGAGGTTCTATGCAAAAATATATGTATAGAGAGGGGGTGAGATTTTCAGCGTTGCCCAATTTTGTGCCCAAGGGAGCTTTACTGTCAAGTGCAGTGACTATTTTGTAGGCGTATTCTTGCGGATGATGTCAGGATCAAAGAGGCAATGGGAATGAATCAATGATTTTATTGAATCCACATTGCCTTACAATTCAAGTGAAAATTGGAAGTGTAAAGTTGCACACACACACACCCCCACATACACACAATGTCTTATTCGATTGTAATGTTGGCGATGAAAAACTGCTTTATGCAAGCTGCCACCCACAGTATGAAAGGCCAACGACGTCCCAGAGCTCTACTTGAAACCTTCTCTTATTATCTGGGTCTGGGGAAGTGGGGAGGGGGGGTCAGGAGGCATCACACGCTACATCTCATGATATCCTTAAAGCAAGCACGTTGGCACAAACCGTAGGAATGTGTGATAGCAATGGGAACGCCTGATTATTTATATCAAGACCAGATGCTTAGAGTAACATAATATCACCTGAACTTATTGCATTCCTACTTTGAAACTCCCTTCCCACTGCCTTTTATTCCAGATGAGTATGACGTAGTCAGTGCTCCCTGACTGATTCCTTTAAACTCAAGGCAAGCTATTTGTGTATGGCTGTTGTGTATTGAAATCATCTGTGTTGTGGCACCTCGTTTGACTTACTTATGAGGTTAATTTCTTTAACTGCAACTGCGTCCGCTTTGCTTGTGCCTCGGAGAGCTGGAAATCAAATTGCAGCAAAGCTCTATACCATGTCTTTCTTCCACCCTGGAGCTCAATAACAGGGCAAGGACTGTGCACAGATGCACGCACAGGTCACTAAAACATATCGCCTCTGTGTCTATAAATCACCTCCTTTAGAATGGGCCGTTAACTTTGTTGCTTCAACAGTTATTCTTGCTAATTTTTATAGCTACTAATGAGGGCACTGTAATTAGGTGTTTTCCTGCTCAGATTAATTGCCTCTTTTTTAGGAGGGAGAATGTCTAAACGAGTTCATTGAAAAACAAACCGCAACTTGTCCAAACCCGCCACCAAAAGATTACTATTCTGTAGATGTCAACCATAACTCTTATGTGTGTGTGTGTGTGTGTTTGTCTGAGTCTACGTTGAAAGAAAACAATTTCTGAAGGAGAAGGGAGGGTATACGGGCTACTGGGAAGAAAGAAGTTTGTTATTCAAGTTAAATTATTCACTTCACTGGAGACGTGTTCAAAACATTCTTGCAAACCTTGCCTTGCCACTTACAATACATTGGTGAAGCGATTAACCTTTTCTTTCAAACTGCACCAGAAACATCTGTAAATCAGTTCTATTCGGTGCTGAATGTTAAACATTAAGAGTTCTGGGAATGTAGAGAACCATGGAAAGGAGTCTTAATTTTTCACATCATCTGGATCCATTAATATCAATGTATTATTTATTCCAAATGCTACTCATAATGGGACAATTCAAAAGATCACAAGAGAGGTTTGGATGAAGAAGGCCGTTCGTCCTATTTGATCTCATCCTTCCTGATTACCCATCTACCCCTCTTTCATTACAGCAGCAAGCTGTTTCTTGAATGAGTCCTGACCTGGACGCTAACACATCTTCCAAGCAACCGTTCCAGCTGTTGATTCCCCTCTGTGTGAAGAATTGACTTCCTGGGGTCTGTCATAAACTTGCCCTTCGCAAGCCTAAACCTCTGCCAAACTTGAAAGTTTTGTTTCAGGCTAACTTTCCTCAACACATTTATATTCTCTTTTGGGTCCTCTCTGAAACATCTCTGCTGAAGGAGGTCTGTGACTGCTTTTGCATTCTCCATTAGAATAACACAACACAGTAACCTTACTTACGGAGAGGCACAGCTCTGCTTGTGTGATACAGATGGCACGGTGGGAAGCACAGGGCTCCGAAAAACTCTTCTGAAATATCCTCTCCACTGGAAAACATTATCTATTGACTTTAACTTGATCCATCGCGGGATTTTCTTTTAAATGAAGTTACAAAGCTTGATAGTGTCGACAATCCAAGAACGAGGCAAAGCTGGATGGACTGCAAACAATCTGCAAAGGGTCTATGTGTTCTAATAATGGTTGCATGAAAATACTTTTGTTCTTAAACCTCCTTCCTCGCTTCAGTAAAGCAAACCTGGGCCAAAAGATTCTTGTTTCAGTGTTGGACATGTGGATAGAAATTAGAAGTGGTTTCTTGTAAAGAATCCTGAAGTGTATTGGTTTAGAGCGCCTGCCTCACAAGCGAGAGGACTTGGGTTTGAATCCCGGGCAGGGCAAAACGTTAGGCAAGTTTTCTTACTCCACACGCCTATGTTTACCTAGCAAGAAGTTGGATTGTTAGTGGATTGACGGATCGCTTTTC